ATGTTAAGCAAAATAAGTCAGAGAAAGACAAATACCATATGATTTCACTGATATGTGGAATTTAAGAAATAAAACAGATGAACATAGAGGAAGGGAAGGAAAAATAAAATAAGATGAAAACAAAGAGAGAGACAAACCATAAGAGACTCTTACCAATAGGAAATAAAGTGAGAGGGGGGAGGGGCAAGATGGCGGAAGAGCAGGGTCCCCAAATCACCTGTCCCCACCAAATTACCTAGATAACCTTCAAACCATCCTGAAAATCTACGAATTCGGCCTGAGATGTAAAGAGAGACCAGCTGGAACGCTACAGTGAGAAGAGTCCGCGCTTCTATCAAGGTAGGAAGACGGGGAAAAAGAAATAAAGGAACAAAAGGCCTCCGAGGGGGAGGGGCCCCGCGAGGAGCCGGGCTGAGGCCGGGGCGAGTGTCCCCAGGACAGGAGAGCCCCGTCCCGGAGGAGCAGGAGCTGCACCAACCTTCCCGGCGGGCGGCAAGGGGCTCGCAGGGAGTTGGAGCAGGACCCAGGAGAGCGGGGATGCCCTCGGGTTCCCGGGGACACTAACAGACACCTGCGAGCGCCAGGGGAGTGCTCCGAGCTCCCTAAGGGCTGCAGCGCGCACGGCGGGGCCGGAGCAGCTCGGAGGGGCTCAGGAGCGGCTCCAGGGAGGGAGCTGCGGGGCGGGAGCGCGAATCCAACAGCGCAGGCCCCGGAGCACAGGCGCCGGGACACAGCCCAGGATCCGGCCTCCCCCGGGACAGGCAGAGGCCGGGAGGGCCCAGGACAGCGAGGACGCTCCTGCCCCGAGCTGAGCAGATCAGCGGCCCCGCCCCGGAGCCTCCAGGCCCTGCGGACGGAGAACCGAGAGCCCCGAGCCCCGTAGTTCCTGCGGAGGCTAAATCCAGGCTTCCAGAGTTGCCATAGCAACTGCGGCTGATCCTCCTGGGGCCCCACGGGGTAAACAACCCCCGCTGAGCCCTGCAGCAGGCAGGGGCAGAGCAGCTCCCCCAAGTGCTAACACCTGAAAATCAGCGCAACAGGCCCCTCCCCCAGAAGACCAGCTGGACGGACCAGTGATACTCCCCCGTGTTCCAATACAACTTGTTTTTGGCCACTCTGCACTGAGCAAAATGACTAGAAGGAAAACCTCACTTCAAAAGAAAGAATCAGAAACAGCCCTCTCTCCCACAGAGTTACAAAATCTGGATTACACTTCAATGTCAGAAAGCCAATTCAGAAGCACTATTATACAGCTACTGGTGGCTCTAGAAAAGAGCATTAAGGCCTCACGAGACTTCATGACTGCAGAATTTAGATCCAATCAGGCAGAAATTAAAAATCAATTCAATGAGATGCAATCCAAACTAGAAGTCCTAACGACGAGGGTTAACGAGGTGGAAGAACGAGTGAGTGACATAGAAGACAAGTTAATGGCAAAGAGGGAAACTGAGGAAAAAAGAGACAATCAATTAAGGGACCTTGAAGACAGATTAAGGCAAATAAATGACAGTCTAAGGAAGAAAAACCTACGTTTAATTGGGGTTCCCGAGGGCGCCGAAAGGGCCAGAGGGCCAGAATATGTATTTGAACAAATCCTAGCTGAAAACTTTCCCAATCTGGGAAGGGAAACAGGCATTCAGATCCAGGAAATAGAGAGATCCCCCCCTAAAATCAATAAAAACCGTTCAACACCTCGACATTTAATAGTGAAGCTTGCAAATTCCAAAGATAAAGAGAAGATCCTTAAAGCAGCAAGAGACAAGAAGTCCCTGACTTTCATGGGGAGGAGTATTAGGGTAACAGCAGACCTCTCCACAGAGACGTGGCAGGCGAGAAAGGGCTGGCAGGATATATTCAGGGTCCTAAATGAGAAGAACATGCAACCAAGAATACTCTATCCAGCAAGGCTCTCATTCAAAATGGAAGGAGAGATAAAGAGCTTCCAAGACAGGCAGGAACTGAAAGAATATGTGACCTCCAAACCAGCTCTGCAAGAAATTTTAAGGGGGACTCTTAAAACTCCCCTTTAAGAAGAAGTTCAGTGGAACAATCCACAAAAACAAGGACTAAATAGATATCATGATGACACTAAACTCATATCTGTCAATAGTAACTCTGAACGTGAATGGGCTTAATGACCCCATCAAAAGGCGCAGGGTTTCAGACTGGATAAAAAAGCAGGACCCATCTATTTGCTGTCTACAAGAGACTCATTTTAGACAGAAGGACACCTACAACCTGAAAATAAAAGGTTGGAGAACCATTTACCATTCAAATGGTTCTCAAAATATACCCTAAAAACTATAGAACACTTCTGAAAGAAATTGAGGAAGACACAAAGAGATGGAAAAATATTCCATGCTCATGGATTGGCAGAATTAATATTGTGAAAATGTCAATGTTACCCAGGGCAATTTACACGTATAATGCAATCCCTATCAAAATACCATGGACTTTCTTCAGAGACTTAGAACAAATTATTTTAAGATTTGTGTGGAATCAGAAAAGACCCCAAACAGCCAGGGGAATTTTAAAAAAGAAAACCATATCTGGGGGCATCACAATGCCAGATTTCAGGTTGTACTACAAAGCTGTGTTCATCAAGACAGTGTGGTACTGGCACAAAAACAGACAGATAGATCAATGGAACAGAACAGAGAACCCAGAAGTGGACCCTGAACTTTATGGTCAACTAATATTCGATAAAGGAGGAAAGACTATCCATTGGAAGAAAGACAGTCTCTTCAATAAATGGTGCTGGGAAAATTGGACATCCACATGCAGAAGAATGAAACTGGACCACTCTCTTGCACCATACACAAAGATAAACTCAAAATAGATGAAAGATCTAAATGTGAGACAAGATCCCATCAAAATCCCAGAGGAGAACTCAGGCAACACCCTTTTTGAACTTGGCCACAGTAACCGGAGAAGGACAAACAGTGTATGTTCTCATTCATTTGGGGAATATGAATAATAGTGAAAGGGAATATAAGGGAAGGGAGAAGAAATGTGTGAGAAATATCAGAAAGGGAGACAGAACATAAAGACTTCTAACTCTGGGAAATGAACTAGGGGTGGTGGAGGGGGAGGAGGGCGGGGGGTGGGGGTGAATGGGTGACGGGCACTGAGGGGTACACTTGACGGGATGAGCACTGGGTGTTATTCTGTATGTTGGTAAATTGAACACCAATAAAAATTAATTTATAAAAAAAAAAAAAAAGGAAATAAAGTGAGGGTTGCTATAGGGGAAGGGGGTGGGAGGACAGGGTAACCAGGTGATAGGCATTAAGGAGGGCACTTGAAGTAATGAGCACTGTGTGTTATATGCAACTGATGAACCACTAAATTCTACCTGTGAAATTAATAATGCACTATCTGTTAATTAAATTGAATTTAAACAAAAAAAATCTTTAAATCAAAGGAGAGAAAGCTGTAGGGATTTAGGATTCCCACTCACCACCCCCATTGTGCAATTGCCTTCTGTATTTCATCATCTCTGCGTTTAGGTTTGGGTACCAGGGTTACCTATGGTGTTTCAAGTTAAGTAAGCACCATAGCTTGGGGCAAGTGAGGATAAGGTTTCCAGCTCACTGTTCAGTATAATGATTAGTAAAACCAAATGTGTCATTGACCTTTTATGTTCACGAGAGGTAAGAGTCAATGGGCAGGGGGCCCCTGGGTGTCTCAGTGGTTGAGTGTCTGCCTTTGGCTCAGGTCATGATCCTGGGATCTGGGGATAGACTCCCACATCAGGCTCCCCATGAGGAGCCTGCTTCTTCTTCTGCCTATGTCTCTGCCTCTCTCTCTGTGTCTCTCTTGAATAAACAAATAAAATTTTTTTAAAAAGAAGAGTCAACAGGCAGGGCTCATGTTAGAATACCTTATAGTCTAGTCTATTATCTTCCAAGTTATCTTGCACTTGCTCACACAGAAGTGTTTGTTTTGTTTCTCACCTACTTTCCAAAGAGCTGTTCTTACGTACACTTTATTGCTTGCCTTTCCAAGTTGTTATCTGAAAACCCTATACCTTCCACTCTGTTTCGGGGGTTGCTTTACTCAGCAGCTGTGGTTCTTTGCCCTTTTTCGCTTTGACATTTCTAAGGGGATGCCCGAGGCCCTGTGTGCCCACCCTCACCGCCCTTTCCTGGTATTGTCACAGTGTTTCCTGGCCACAAAGTTGGACCAGGAGTCAGTATAAGACACAACAAGTTCCTTCCTCAAGATTTTTGACTCTGGGAAATTAGATTTCTCCCAGGAGGCTAAAGCTGCAAGACTGGAAACCTGGATCTTCAAACAACCAAATTTTCTGTAGAGAAAGACAAACAGTAGCCAAGTGAGAAGATGTGAAGCTAGCACTTGCAGTGAGAGATGGAGGACTGTTTGCCTATACTGCACCCCAGGCCTAGGTGTTCTTGAGGCTTAGGGACATTCCTGGCTGTCCTGTCTCTTGGTTGCTAAGCTTCTAAAAACTCTTCATTTTTGCTTAAACTGGTCGAGTTTGGATTTCTATTGCATGAGGTCAGACATTCTAACTGATAAAGAACTGCTAATGGTCATTTTTGTTTACCTGTTTATTTTTTGTTATAACAATCTACATTTATTGAATATGTTCTATGGACCATTTAATCTGAGCAACATTCCTCAAAGGATTTTCAATGCTTGTTTGTACTCAGAATTCAGCATCTTAGAGTTGCTCATTTTACCATTGTCTCACAGCATGGTGTTTACCCCGCAGGGTATTTGCTCCTATGGCCTATTCCTCAGTGTAGAACTCTGCCCAGCAAAGTCCTGCTCATCCTTCAAAGCCAACTTTGATGTAGCCACTTAGAGAGACTTCCCTGCTCCAGGCAGAATGAATCACTCCCTTTCTTCTTGCTCTCCAGTTCACATTAAATTATGGTTAATTGGTTATAAGTCTGACTCCAATACTGTTGAGAGCTCCATGTAGGCATGTACCATGTATTCATTTGTCTAACTCCCGGTCCTGACACAAAACCGGCCCTAGAATAGGTGCTTAATAACTACTTGTTGAGTTAAATCGATTTGGGGAACATGCAGAGCCTACCCAATGCAAATGAAGAAATTATATTCTTGTTCCTGGACAAATATGAAAAATGGCATAAGATGGCTCTACTCCCATGGCTCAGGTGAGCAAATGTCTTTACAAGGGAGAGGGGGACCGTCTGGTGTGACTAATGAGAGACTTCCAACCTATCACTTCTAATAGAGTTTACTCTCACTACCTATTAAAGTCTGAACACTGTTCACTAACTGAATTTGCAATGCCTAGGCAGTCACTGTGGCATAGAAAATAGACATGATTTATTTATGATCCTTGACTGCATCCCAGGTGATGTTCTGAATATTATTTTTGCCAGAGGTGGCTTTATATTAATTGAAGGGTACAAGACCATGTAGCATGGGGCAGTGTTTGTGTTTTCCAGGACTGGAGATGACTGTTTCATGGCCCATGCCCTGAATATGCCTCTGGGCTTGGCTCTGAAGTTTAAAGTTTGCCTTTTTAGGACAATGATTTAAAAGTCTCCAGTGGCTCAACTGTTCTCGGGTCTCTTCCATAAATCAACCAGTATGAGGCAACTGACAGCAGGTAATGGGTATTGAGCCTTATTACATATGGACCAGGAGGTATAGAAGCCAGAACAAAATGCTTCAGTGAAAATGAGGAAGCAAGAGAAATCGCTAACTTGGCTTACAAATCCAACAGTCCCAGCTACACATGATTTACCAACTCCTTAGTAACTATGGCCATTGTTTTATCTCAATCCTTTCTCAACTAGCTTCCCAAACTATTTTTGGACTTCCTCCTTTCCACCTATAATTGCTAATGATCACAAAATGAAAACTGATATTCACATAAGAGAAAATGAGAAGGCACAACTTATGTAAAATAAATTATGAAAAATACTTGAAAGATAAATTAAAAATGACACTTGGAGTAGTTGAGTGTCAGTCACTCTCGAAGGGCATAAATAAATGAGAGAGAGTTCACTGAATTTTAGACTCTTTTCATTGAATTTGAAATATTCAATTAGAAACATAGTTGTGAAAGGCACAGTAAATATGTTGGATATGTAAAATAGGAACCTTATTTTTGACACTTTTATAATAATAGTATTAACACAGCATTAATTGAAGCACAATAATCGATATGTAATTCTTCTATTGGTTTTTTGAGTAGCTATACATATTTTATTCTTTTAAATCCAAGATTAAGGGAGCCTGGGTAACTCAGGTGATTAAACATTTGCCTTTGGCTCAGGTCATGATCCTGGGGTCCAGAGATCAAGCCCCACATCTAGCTACCTGCTCAATGAGGGGCCTGCTTCTCCCTCTTCCTCTGCCCCACTTTCCTGCTCATGTGTGTGTGCTCTCTCTCTCTCTCAAATAAATAAAATCTCAAAAAAAATTTAAATCCAAGATCAAATAATACATTTTAATTGGATCAACTTAAGACACTTAGTAATATGTGGTACAACTAAGTCCATCTTTATATACCTCTACTTGTTTTTCCCAAGACTGAAAAAAAAAAAAGAAAAAGAAAGAAAAGAAAACAAGATACATTTTGTCATAGATGGGGAGCCCCGGATTGCAGAACTAACATTCACAGCCAAGTTACACTGCTGTACTGTTAGGTTCTTATTGGAGATGATGGCTGAGGAACTCAACCTTTCTTTTTCTGGACATCACTGCTTCTTGAGGTTCTGATTTGATTGCTTCAAGTAATGACTCATCCAGTACATTATGTGATTATTCAAAACCAAACTAAAGCCAAGATGTCATTGCTATTTCAAGATTTTGTGTGCTCCTTACTTTTGTGTGCTCTGCATCTCAGCGGCACCATACCAAGACATAGCCTCCGTGACCCAGAGAGGATAATAGCCTCTGCTCTTCCCCTTGTATCAGTGGAAATAGAGAAACTCATAACTTTCGAGGAAAAATAAGTGCACTCTGCGAATAAACATAGGCAGCTAAAGAGACGCAATGAGGGATCCCTGGGTGGCGCAGCGGTTTCGCGCCTGCCTTTGGCCCGGGGCGCGATCCTGGAGACCCGGGATCGAATCCCACGTCGGGCTCCCGGTGCATGGAGCCTGCTTCTCCCTCTGCCTATGTCTCTGCCAATCTCTCTCTCTCTCTCTCTGTGTGACTATCATGAATACATAAATAAAATCTTAAAAAAAAAAAAGATAAAAGAACTTCCACATGGCAGCTGTGGACTGTCACAGGGGAGGGCTGTGCGGTCCCTCTGAGCCCTATGTGGCTGTCCTGGTTGTAGGCCCATGAAGTCGATCCTCACTGGGGATGGATCGATCAGGAGGGGCTTAGCCTGTGGAGGATCCTAAAGGCTAGGTTTTCCTCTGTAAGAGTGGATAGAAGCCAGAGGTGATTGAGGAGACACCACCAAATTGGATTTTCATGACCAACCCGATGGAAAAGTGTAGAGTGGACTTCACAGGAGACCCTGTTGGCAGTTTTTACCAGTTAGGAATTCAACAGTCACTCTTAGGAGGAAAAGGGAAGACACAAGCATAACAGAACAGTTTCCTTCCCTTGAGGTCAATTATTTCACTGGGTTAACAGTTCTAATTCAGAACAGATGTATCAACCCAAACCACTTTCTCAAGTTCATTTTTTATTTTGACAGATTTATCTAAAAGACCCTTTATTTTAGGGACACTGACCTTGCCAAGATGGAATTTTGTTTTTAGGAGCCCCTTTTATAAGATTAAAATTGAAAAAATAAATAAATAAATAAAATTGAGCTCAGTGAATGTCCTCGGGACTGTTATGGCTACTGCCATGTATTTTACTTCCAAAGCATTTAAAATCTGTTTACAGTTCGGGGGCGCCTGGGGGGGGTGTTCAGTCAATTAAACATCTGCTTTTGGTTCAGGTCATGATCCCAGGGTCCTGGGATAGAGCCCTGCATGGGGCTCCCTGCTCAGCTGGGAGTCTGCTTCTCCCTCCTCTCCCTTGCCCCTCGCTCCTGCTCATTCTCTCTCTGTCTCTCTCTCTCTCTTTCTCTCTCTCTCTCTCTCTCTCTCAAATAAATAAATAAATAAAATCTTTTTAAAAATCTGTTTCTAGTTTTCCCTCTGGAAAGTTCTCAAACTGGTGTGAACTCTTCCTTCCCAGGTACCTCCAGATCATCAGTTACTCGATGTAAACCAGGAGCCAACTGCCCCAGTTCACACAGTGGCATCAGTAGACAACTGTCCCCTCTTTCTGTCACCGAAGATTCTTCTGCTCCTATTCTTGAACTTCAGAGCCGAGGATCTTCTGGAGTTTGCGGACACAGAGTTGAAAGGCAGAACAGATCAGGTACGCTGATGACCTCTTAAATAACTGTTCACCAGGTAACCTTCTAACTGGCCATGAAAGATGGCACCATTGGCCCAGAACGCAGAGGCAGTACCTGGACTCTTAGGGGTGATGTGGGGAAGGTTTATCAGGTGGGAGGAGAAGGAAGAAGGGGAAGGTATAGATATGATCTGTTAGTGCTGTGCCAGGTAGCAGAGAAACGGAATAGCAAAGACTCATTGAGGGCTTACCATGTGATTTAAACAGTGACACCCAATTAAGTTTACAAGGGAACTGGTTTTCTCACTTTGAAGAGCATCTTGATCTCAACCCTGGGATTCCGTCGTAGTGCACTCCCTTCCAAGAAGAAGGAAAACAGCAATAAAATCACAGACTCTGCTTTTGTGCTCATCAGGACTGGCAGTCCTTGGAACCCGTCTAGTTTCCCACTGTTAACACCTTTTTCAGGACACTTCATCCTCCCCACTCAGCATTTCCTGACCAGCCCAGACCTCTAGCCTTTCCTCACATCCGCTTGGCTGCACACACCAACTCCCAGGCCACTTGGGTTACTGGAATTGCTTGATAAATCTCATAACTTGATCCAGGGATTTCCCAGCAAATTGATCATTTTCAAATGAAGCTGAGTCCCCTAAGCTGCTGCCCACACTGTCCTCCCTGGTGGTGGACCTCTTCCTGCCTTCCTCAGAGAATGTGCCTTAGTTCCCAGTTCATACTCACTTCCTCTTGTCACATGGCCACACTTCTATTTCTGAAGAGAGTGAAACAGATGCTTTCCTCTGAGCCTCAATGTCTCTGTTCTTCTGTTTGCCAAATACCAGATTTGGGGGCCAACTTTAACATGCACGGTCCTACCTTTCCAGTGTCAGCTCTTTTTGCTATGTCTGTGATCACCTCCTCTCCATCTTTGCCACCTGCTTTTTCAGTCTCTCCTTCCACTCATTCCTTCAGCTTGATGGGTAACATACTAAAATCTCTTACATCCTTAAGAACAATAATAAAACAGCAAAACACTCCATCCAAAATAAATGGTCAGTTGAAAATAAAATGGAGCTTTGAGAAAACTGGCTTAAAAAACAAACAGAAGGGCAGCCCGGGTGGCTCAGTGGTTTAGCGCTGCCTTCAGCCCAGGGTGTGATCCTGGAGACCCAGGATCAAGTCCCACGTCAGGCTCCCTGCATGGAGCCTGCTTCTCCCTCTGCATGTGTCTCTGCCTCTCTCTCTCTCTCTCTCTGTGTCTGTGTCTCTCATGAATAAATAAATAAAATCTTTAAAAAAAAAAACAGAAGAGAATGGAATTCAGGGCACTTAGTTATGGATGAGAGGCAGTAAGAAAGGGTATACAGAAAACAGGAAAGCGTCTTCTAGGGCTCTACTAATGTGAGAAAAGATTTTTTAAAAAGAAAAAAACAGGGATCCCTGGGTGGTGCAGTGGTTTAGCGCCTGCCTTTGGCCCAGGGCGTGATCCTGGAGTCCCAGGATCGAATCCCACGTCGGGCTCCCGGTGCATGGAGCCTGCTTCTCCCTCTGCCTATGTCTCTGCCTCTCTCTCTCTCTGTGACTATCACAAAAAAAAAAAAAAAAAAAAAAAAAAAAACATTTTTCAGGGTGCCTGAGTGGCTTAGCAGCTCAGTTCATGATCCCAGCATCCTGGGATTGAGCCTTGAATTGTATTAGGGCTTCCTGTTTAGCAAGGAGTCTGCTTTTCCTTCTCCTTTTGCCCCTCACCCCTGCTCATGCTTTCCCATTCACGTATGCATATGCTCTCCCTCAAATAAATAAATAAAATCTTAAAAAAAAGAAAAAATCTTTTTCAAAAAGTGACATCTTAAAATAGTATCTCAGCAACTGTTAATCCTGAGGCCAAGGTTCTTTTTTACAAAATGAAAAAAATTACATCTTAAATCTTCAGAAAGTTTTAATTGGCTTTTATAAGTTGCAGTAATGTTCCTATTATCCCAGTTATCTGCGGAATCAAATGTTCCAGTTAATTAAATATACTGGCTAATAAAGACTTGCTATATCTATCATATGCAAACTACAAACTCTGAAGGCTATACCATTAAAGATCACATGGGACATAATTTACTCTTTCTGTAATGATTCAGAAGGCACTTGGGGATATTCCAGGGCACCGAAGAAAAAAGAGAAAAGGAGAATAACCTTAAGAGCAGTTCACCATGCTTTCATGAATGTTATGTACTTGGCTTCAAAACGAATCCCATGAGACAAATGTTATCACTGTTTCACGGATAAAGACGTTAAGACTGGAATCAAACATGAGCTCAGAGCCATACAATTGTTACACTCATGTTGATTCCAGTGGCCTCTACCATTAATGGCTCTAATCAAGTTTCATAGTAATGGGTGGACTTCCTGGTATATCAGGGTTTTTTTTTAAAAAGATTTTATTTATTTATTCATGAAAAATACACAGAGAGGCAGAGACATAGGCAGAGGGAGAAGCAGGCTCCCTGCAGGGAGAGCCTGATGCAGGACTTAATCCCAGGACTCTCAGATGGACCTGAGCCAAAGGCAGATGCTCAACCAGGTGCCCCCCACACCCAGTATATCAGTTTTAATGATATATACAAAACTATAAATCCAAGCCAGACTATAGAGAATTTAAAGTGACCAGAAAAATAAAAGAGCTCTGGAAACCCAATCTATGTTATTGATAAATGGTAAAATTAAAGAATTGGCAACAACTAAATCTAGTTAGCAGAAGAATGGGTCAATGCTATGGAGGGATCTAGGGGACTACCAGTGTCACCCAGAGTACTGTATATAGTATGATGGTGGTACCAAGCAGTCTTCAAAGAAGGTGACAATGAAGGCAGATATCAAATTAATATGATACCAAGATTCTTTATAGAATCATTCCTCCTTTATGAGATGGTCCCTGAGAGTAATGTAATCTGAAGTGTCATAGAGCAAACCTTTCTCGTAGGTAGGCATCACTCTTCTTAAGCCTTATACAAAACTACCATTCCTGTCAGAAAACAGAATTTTTTCTCCAAACTATTTCTGAAACTTCCAGCACTTGAATGAAGAGCTCAAGCCTGAAACCTGCACAGAATGAGTATTCAGAATAAAATATGTGGACACTAGAGTCATACTAACTTGGGTTCAACCTTGGACAACTTTTAATGCAGATTTCAGTTTTTTCATCTGTAGAATGGAAGTGATAATACCTACTTCACCGGGTAGGTTAATGTCTGCTTCCCAGCTTCCTAAGACAAGAGTCTCTTGTTCTACCCTCTCACTCATTTTATATTTTTCCCTCTACTCTCTTCACAAGCCACATGGTTACAGAGAGGATTTGCATAACTGTTATCAAGAGCAGGTATTATCTATACACAGTAAAGGGAGCTAGCTGGCTCACACTTCCAGACTCATGTCAATGTCACTGCATCATGGAAGTTTCTCTTGATCATTTACCACCCCATCCCTTAACCAGTGATTCTCCTTTGCCCCCATATGGCCTTTAATCTGCCATAGTTGGCCCTATATCACACATTAGATGTGTTTTCTGGCTTGCCACTGGGCCATGAGCTCAGGTCTTTCATCTTTGAACCCTTAGGACCCAACTAGCTAACTAGCTCCTGGTCATCTTTATAGGATTTTGTTGAATACATGAAAAAAAGAATACCAATTTTCATCTTCTAGAGGCCAAGGCTTAAGAATCCAGTATTGTTAAAAGACTTGGAAGTCATACAGTAATTGCTCTGTTTGTCATTACTTGGTTTATATCCCCCAGTTCAAAATTCACCTTCAAGGCTTGCTATACCCCTCCTGAAATGATTTTATCAGAGAGCCTTAGTTGGGTGAAAGTTTTTACCCCAGTGGGGCAATCATGCCTGACTCACTAAGCAATAGGACCACAGTCAGCAGGAGAGAGACAGTAGGTTTTGGAGAGATAAAGTGAGAAACCCATCCAGTATCACTTAAAACCTGTGGACTACACCACTTTCTTAACCACTAGGACAAACCTTGTATTCAGAGGAGGTGCCTCAAGACAAGAGAGAACTTGCAGACAATTCAGCCTCCCTTCCCTCAGGATTCTAACACGTGGGATCTCAGCTTGGGGACTCAGGGTGATCTCTGCTTCCTTTTAACCTTCTGACAGTGCATACATTTTTTTGTGTTGAACTTGTTTTCTCTATCAGGAGAGAAGGCCTTCATGATTGTCACTTTCAGAGAGTTTTGACTATTTTAATGTAAAATACATGCTACTAAATTTTCTTAGTAAATGTGAAACTACAAAGCAGAACTCATTGTGCTCCCTGAAATACATTAAATTGTAATTTGTTCTGAGGTGGGAAATGACTTTGTGTAGTCAAGATTTGCCCTGTTCTTGGGACACATTGCTTTTCAATTTAATAGACAGCTTTGCTGCAGTTTAAGGGGGGGACAAAAACACCTTAGTGGAGTATGAAAACAAATACTTATTTTTCACTTACTTTTCATGTTGGCAGATACAGGGCTACTTTGGCTGGGTTCTGCTCTTTCTCCTACAGAGGCTGAAAGGGCAGCTGCTATTTGGCATTTTCCATTCTAGGAACAGAGAAGAGCAAGAGAGTTTAGTGAGACCTTCTGATGCCTCTTAAAGCTTCTCCCAGGAGGTAGCCTACCTCACATCTATCTCTTCATGTTTGATTAGACAAAGCAGGTCATGTGACAAAGGTCACAGTCTTTGGGAGCTGAAATATGTTATGCTTTTATAAGGAAGTGGTTGGGTGCATGGAAGGACAGCATAGCATCCACCAAGTTCATGAGCATTGTCATGGTGTTGACAATGGATGGGGGTCAAGATACATACCATACCCCACAGAGCAAAGATTCAGAAGAGAAAATGAGCCAGAGTCATTAATCTCTTTAAATGATGGTAAAAAAGAAAAACACAGGTGATTCTTCTGTCTGCCTCTTTGGTTGCTGTCCTATAACCTGATTTCCACACATTTGTATTCCTTTCCTGTTTTCAGGGGATGATGGAACACAGACTCATCCTGAGAACAGCAGCCAAGAAAACAGAATCAAGGCTCGCTGCCGGTCCTGCACGTCCATGGTTCTGAAGGCTGTCTGGGGACTCTTGATCATCTTGTCAGTGTCATCGTCTTGGGTTGGAACCACACAGATTGTAAAAATTACTTACAAGAACTTCTACTGTCCATTTTTCATGACTTGGTTTTCAACAAACTGGAACATTATGTTTTTCCCAGTCTATTATTCTGGTCATCTGGCCACTGCTCAAGAAAAGCAATCTCCAATGAAAAAATTCAGGTAGGTTTGTTTCGTGTTAAATGGCTAATACAAGATGTTTTAAAATAATTTCATGAAAATATGCGTAATTTCATCTCTGTAGAATATGAACTGAGTTGACTTTGGGAGTGTGGAGAACCAGGATCTAAGCTTGGTAATGAATACATGAGGTCTAGGAAACAGAATCAGTCCTCCTCCTAAAAAAAATTATTGTATGTCTACCACATGCCAGGCTCTGTGATGTTGCTTTTGTAGATCTTATATTGATTAATCACCATTGGTGGTAACATGTACCTTTAAGGTGGTGTCACTATCCCCATTTTAACAAAAGAGGAAACAAGTTTAGAAAGGTTGAATGACTTGTCCAAGGTCACACAGGTCTAAATAACAGCATCCAGGTCTAAACCCAGAATTATCTCTGAAATTCATGTTTTAAAAGAACACCCCGGTGTCTCAAGCCCAGAAAAAAACATGTATTAATAAGATTAATTGTTACAAAAACATATGCTCAATATTTTGGATGTGTGGTGCCCAAATGGGTAAAATGATCTGGTTTCATGAAAAGGGAAGTTTGGCCCTGATGGTTTAAAGATTATTTATTTATTTATTATTAGAGAGAGACAGAAAGTGGGGGGAGGGACTAAGGGAGAGAGAATTCAAGTAGACTCCCCACTGAGCCGGGAGCCTGACATGGGGACCCTGACTGGTGACTCAATCTCATGACCTGAGCTGAAACCAAGAGTCAGATGCTCAACCGACTGAGGCACGCAGGCACCCTAGCCCTGAGGTTTAGAAGATGCCTTTCTTTGCTGGCTAGGAGCACATGGGGCCTTCGCTGTTGGTTCACCAGCTATGAACATGAAAAGAAATGCATTATCAGCCTATTCTTAAAAACTTAACAAACTGTAAAAGGTGTATTTTCAACTTCCACTTTCTATCACCAGCTTGGAAGTGCTTGAGAAAAAGTCACACTGTTAGCTGATTTTCTATTGTGTCCATTATTATTCAATTAAAATTAAACAAAACCTATATAAAAATAATAAATATGTTCTGGTTTGGAGGAAAGGAATAAGCCATAAGGCTTATTAACAGGATCCAGATCTAAATCCAGGATTATCTCTGAAAGTCGTGTTTTAAAAGAATACCTTGGTGTCTCAAGCCCAGAAAAAAACATGTATTAATATGATTAATTGTTACAAAAACATATGCTTAATATTTTGGATGTTGCAGTACTAAGTGCATAAAATGATCTGGTTTCATGAAAAAGGTCTGTGATTGCTAAAGATACTTTGGGTTTGATTTGGGTTTTTTTTTTTTTTAGATTTTATTTATTTATTTCAGAGTAAGAGGCATGAGTGGGGAGGAGGGGCAGAGGGAGAAGCAGATGCCCCACTGAGCAGGGACACCGATACGGGGCTCAATTCCAGGACCCTGGGATCATGACCTGAGCCAAGGCTTAACTGACTGAGCCACCCAGGAGCCCCACTAAAGATACTTTGTATTTGATTCAAAATACAAAAAAAAAAAAAAAAAAGACATGATATTGGTGCATGACTTTTTTAATAACCAGGTTTAATAAGCTATTACAGGGGACATGGGTATCAGACTAAAATTTTGCTGTTTGAAAATAGTTTATCCATAGCATGTATGTTCTACTCCAATGCTCCTGTGGTTTAGACACACATGCTGATAAAAACAAGAGTTTAGTGTGGGATGTAGTACCTCAGAACACCTCAAAGCAAGCAACTAGGTTTTATTTAAGATAACACATTTACAACAAGAAGCTGCTGCTGACAGTAATGTTGTTTTGGGAATCAACTTCATCTTCACCACATCTCTTATGTCTGACTAACTCTGAATTTAGTGAAACCTGTTGATTTGACAATACACCTCCACCTGTTAGTGCAGGTTGGGTGAAGACCATTTCTGAAACCGAATCAAAGAGCTTTTACTGTCAAGTAGAAAACATTGTCTTTGAGGGGAATATTCTCCAGAGGCCTCCTCCATAGGAGAGGTAAACATTGCCAGAAAATTCTAAGATGCTTGATCTTTTTTCCTTGTAGACCCATTAACACCATCTGCCAAAAAGGTACTTCTGGAAGCTCTCATGGTAGAACAAGGGGAAAATAGAGTTAGTGTTTAAGACTGGAAATAGAATCTGTCCCATATCACCAGACCCTCTGACTATTGTCTTCTTTTCTCTTGAATGGTATGAAAGCATTTTCCGTTGTTTTCTTACCACTAACATCAAAAGAATTTTCAATAATGTATCAAATTTATATTGTAGGGATTGTTCATTTGCAAATAGTTTTACAATCAAGAGAATTTAATTGCATCACATGAATTTGAAATTTAATAAAAAATTTATAAACCACACTTTTGACAAGGAAAAGAATCTCTAGAAAGCATGAAACTAGAGCCAAAGATAAATTCATCTATGTCAGGTACCTATGAAATGTGCTTAAGATGTCATCTGACATATGGATGGCGTTCAGTAGTGAGTAGGTACTGCAACAATGTTGAGCATAATTAAGGATTTATTTATTTTATTTTAGAGAGAGAAAGAGAGAGCTCATGAGTAGGGGGAGGAGCAGAGAGAAAGAGAGAGAAAACGGGAGAGTGAGAGAATCTCAAGAAAACTCCTGGCTGAGTGTGAAGCCTGATGTGAGTCTCAATCTCACACTCATGAGATGATAACCTGGGCCAAAATCAAGAGTCAGACCCTTAAATGACTGAGCCAGCCAAGCATCCTTATGTTGAGCACAATTAAATTATTAGTGTCCCCCAGCTTCTAAGCTTTAGGCCAAGCTTTGCCACCTGTCAGTGCCTCTTGCCTAGAAATTCTGATCTCATCATCCCAAAGAGAGACCCACTGTTACCTGCTTTTCTATAGAAATCCTTTCTTTTTTTGAATCTTCACATTTCTTAGTGCTTAATGCTAAAATAGCATAAGGTCCTGTACAGGTGACCTGGCATTTGAGTGGAGAGCGTTTTTAAGTCCGACTGATTATAGCAGTGACAAATGGAGAGAAGGTTGGCAGTAAGAGAAGGGAAAAAGAGGGAAACGATAAGGAAGCCCACACCAGGGGGACAGGATAAGCCAGGTGAAAAGAGCAGTCTCTGCCCCCCTGGGGGAGGGGGGCTGTCCCTGTTGCTGTGCCTCCCTGTGGGGTCAGAATGTGCGCTCTCTTGCATTCAAAGTCTTTGCTTGAGAGCACTCAACTCAGTGTGATGGTGGCCTCTGGGAAGGAAGGTGGGCCAGGGCCAGGGCTATGAAAAGAAATCCTTTCATCAGAAATGGGTTTGTTGTGGTTCTTCATAAATGTGTATTTCAAAGCACCATTTAGTGCTGGTAGATGTCAGGATGAGCCCAGGACTCTCAGCTCCAGCTCTCCTTGGCAGACTTTCTCACAGAGCAGATCCCTTTGTGAGAATGAGCAGAATATAAAACTCGTGCCAGGATGTCCTGTGCAAACTGCTGCTTGGTCTGTATGTGGCTCTGATTCAGTGTATCTCCATGGCTGCAGGCCTTGAGATATGCCATCCAATTCCCAGGTGTGTGAGCATGTGCTCACACAGGGAGTGTTGATTCCTGTTTACTTTACAGAAGACTTTGTTTTTAAGTTATTTCACCCCTTCCTTGAAGTTTTGTCTTTCAAGTTAAAATTTACCTTTGAGAAATCACATTTTTATTTTACAAAAATCCTCTCATTTTAAGTTGTCTCCCACCCAAAAAGTAAAACTATGACACAGGTTTCTGTGTGTGCAGTATTTTAAAAAATATTTTATTTAAATTAAACTTGCCAACATATAGTATAACACCCAGTGCTCATCCCATCTCAATGTGCATTTTTAATCTCCCTGGATTCACTGGCCTACAATTCCCAGCATTCTCAGCTGCCTGGAAACAATGTTTACCCTGAGACTTGACATTGAAGGCCATACTCCTGTGCTTAGAGCCTCACCACTTTGTCACTCACTCCTTCCCTCTATGTGGCCCTCCTGTGGGGTAAGCTGCTTCATACGTGTGGGACAGACATTGGCCAGAGATCACTTTGGTTTGTAATACTTGGAAGCACAATTGTTTCTCTTCAGAAAAAGCTGGAAGAGAAACCAGTGTTAGTATCTACAAGAATCACATAGATTTCATTATAACCATGCAAACATTAGTAACATGTTGCTTTTTTTTTTTTTAAGATTTTATTTACTTATTCATGAGAGACACACAGAGAGAGGCAGGGACACAGGCAGAGGGAAAAGCAGGCTCCCTGCAGGGAGCCGGATGTGGGACTTGATCCTGGGTCTCCAGGATCACACCCTGAGCTGAAGGCAGACGCTCAACCACTGAGCCACCCAGGCGTCCCAACTTGTTGCTTTGAACAAGATACTTATACTACTCTTGAAAATACACTGCCTGGCACATAATAGTTACCCAGTAAATGTTTGGATAAACAACTGTGTGGAAAAAATAAAGCTGAGTTATCCCAACAGCGAGCCTGCTTTCAATCCATAGTCAAATAAACACTAATGATTCTATCATATCATTACTGCCTGTCTGTATTGCTAATTTGAATATTTTGATTAAAATGGTCCCTTGGGCTAAATAATCAATTTAGTCAGAAATCATACACATCAAACATTTAACTGAACTGATTATTTTTACACAATAAATTCAGATAATTCCTCCAAGACAGCCAAATGTGTGTATATAAACACAAGTTGAGTTTGATTTTTATTTATTTTACCATTTTGTGGTCATCACAGCAGCTTTCTTCATTTTCTCTGTCTTAAAAATGCTAGAGGAAAAACCAGTTAGTCACCTGGACAGATACATTAAAAAGAGGCCTTGTCCCTTAAGAAAAATAGAATTCGCAAACTGGGTGGCTTTCCATGGGACGGGAGGCTGCAAGTTGTCTCTACCTGTTCACACTGTCACAGACCTATTGTATTCGCCCATTGGGAAAGAATCTTCTCTCTCTTCTAATAGCTAGTAATCCAAGAAACTACTCATTTCTTATTTCTCCCAGCTTATCTAAGAATGTTTAGCAGCAGCAGCATGGCTGCTTCAGCCATCTTGAGAGGTAGGAAAGGGCCTCACTCTGCTCCTGGGGAGATGTGGGCTCATTTCCATGGAACTCTGCCCCTGCTGTGGCCCGTAGGTGGGAGGCCTGGGTTCAATAGTTCCACAGATGAACAATGAATGTTGAATGTTTGTGTTCTTGCCAGAAAAGTGGCTGTCAAGAGTTAGACAACCCAAAATGTGTCACAATTAGTACCTGACAATTACCTCTTTTTCTTTCTTAGGGAATGCAGTCGGATTTTTGGAGAAGATGGTCTGACGTTGAAGCTCTTTCTTAAAAGAACTGCTCCCTTTTCTATTCTATGGACTTTGACTAATTACCTGTATTTACTGGCTTTAAAGAAGCTGACAGCCACGGATGTCTCTGCTCTGTTCTGTTGTAACAAAGCTTTTGTCTTCTTGCTGTCGTGGATCGTGCTGAAAGACAGGTTCATGGGAGTGAGGGTAATGGCACACTTGATTCGATGGGTGAGGCCACCCGTATCATAAATCCTTGGCATCAGGAAAGCTCCTCTGTTTCATGGAATTTCTGTCAAACTTTCCCCATTGGTTCTGAGCACAAATTGGAATTTGAAGATGCATTAGAACACCCAGGCAATGACAATATCATGAAAGGATAAAGAGATGGTCTCCTTTGGGCAGTCAGCTGATTTCAACAGGAGGCACGAACACAGACAGGGAAAATAAGTTCTTTTTTTTTTTTTTTTTTTTTTAAAGAATTAATGGTGTGATCAACTCCTTCTGTCCTCAGGAAAGAAGGGTCTGAGAAAATTAGCCACAGTAAAGATTATGAATTCTTTTTTTCAATCAACATATGTTGGGACAACTCCCTCATGATTTCCCTCCCCCTGGCCCCGAGATGGATTTAATTAACATTGGTGTAAGTAGATAAGGTTACCAAACAGTAATTAAAGTCACTGGTAATAGTACAATGCTGTTAAAAGTGGCTATATATCTAGTGTGACTAATCTAGAAATGGAACTAAAGGCAACAATTTGTACTTTGGGGTACAAATCCTTAATTGAACTGTATTAAACTTCCACCAACCACTTCAGTTCTGAGTTTATTCCTTTCAAAAGTAATATGGATTTGAAAAAAAAATTATTTTGTATGCTTGCTCTAAATTAGATTGATTGAAAGCCAGGCAGATTTAAGGAGCCAGATCTCATTCATATAATTTGTCATGCCACCATGACGAAAACATTGAGAAGATAATTCTTTAGAAAGAGGTACAGATGAAAAGCCTTTTCCCAGAAAATAAACATCACACAATTATTGTTCTCTGAAAGAGATGTCCAAGACTGGATAGGAAGCATATTTTTTTATCAAAATATTGCTCTTGTTGCAATGATTCTGGGTTCCCTATGCCCCTAAATGCTGGAATCAATTTTAGAGAGAGAGAGAGAGCTGATGACAGCCATTAACCTTTAAAACTTTTTAATTTTTTTTTAAGATTTTATTTATTCATGAGAGACAGAGAAAGAGAGAGAGAGAGAGAGAGAGACTGAGAGAGAGGCAGAGACACAGGCAGAGGGAGAAGCAGGCTCCGTGCAGGGAGCCAGACATGGGACTCAATCCCGGGTCTCCAGGATCTGGCCCTGGGCTGAAGGCGGCACTAAACCGCTGAGCTACCTGGGCTGCCCTTAAAACTTTTTTAAATAGCAAATTCTGATTGTGTCCTGGGAGATGCTGCTCAGAAATTTAGAACCGAAGCTTGACATGAACAAGTAGAAAGCTATGGTAGAAGATGAGATGAGAAACTCTAAACCTGTCCGTGATACATTAGAATCACACTCTCCACCAGCTAATCTTAGATTTGACATCCAGAGGGCTTAATGTTATGTTTTTATATGTGGAACTGGTGCTGGCTGTCTACCAGCAGGTATCCTGACAAGTCCTTGAAAGCAGGGACAGTCCCTATATTGCTCACTGTTCCATTCAGGATTAACTACATAATTTTGGGGCTCAATACAAAATGAAAACACAGGGACCATTCTTTTTTAGAAAAACTTTTTAAAGCAGTTTTATCTTTCCCCCAGGTTTTTATTTAAATTCAAGTTAGTTAAAATACATTTAAAAAATAAAATTAAAAAATAAATAAATAAATTCAAGTTAGTTAACATATAGTGTAGTATTGGCTTCATGAGTAGAATGTAGTGATTCATCACTTACATATAACACCTGGTGCTCATCACAAGTGCCCTCCTTAATGCCCATCATATTTAACCCATCCCCTTTCACCTTCCCCTAGCAACCCTTCGTCTGTTCTCTATAGTTAAGAGCTCTTGTAGTTTGCCTCCCTCTCTGTTTTTATCTTATTTTATTTTTCCTTCCCTCCCTATGTTCATCTATTTTGTTTCTTAATGATTTTCTTTTTTTAAGATTATATTTATTAATTCATGAGAGACACACAGAGATATATTTTGTTTCTTAAATGACACAGGGACCATTCTTTTAAAAAAATCTATCAATAATTTCAAGATAGCAACAGTAGAGCATGAAACCAAAGTCAAGGCTTTTCTAATCATGAGACCCTATGCATCTGCACAGGTCATATGCCCATGAAGCCAGCTCTGCCTCTGTCTCTAGAACCTAGAATAATGCAGGGGATTATTTGAGTCCTCAAATATCTACCAAATAGGACTCTGTAGATATTTGAGAATATAGGAAATAAATTCATGTTGATGAGGTCTTTGCCAGCACCATGGATTATCCATAAGAATTTGGAGGGTCGGGATCCCTGGGTGGCGCAGCGGTTTGGCGCCTGCCTTTGGCCCGGGGCGCGATCCTGGAGACCCGGGATCGAATCCCACGTCGGGCTTCCGGTGCGTGGAGCCTGCTTCTCCCTCTGCCTGTGTCTCTGCCTCTCTCTCTCTCTGTGACTATCATAAATAAATAAAAATTAAAAAAAAAAAGAATTTGGAGGGTCTTGTCAGAAGAGAAGGAAGAAGAGATTTCAGGGTTTTTCTGCCCTTTCAATGGCATCTGCATACCAAAACGGAATCAATACCTTCACTATTAGATTTACCAGTGAGAAAACCAGTTGCATTAGAGTGAGTGAATGCATTTAATCAGGGAACTTACTGATACAAGATGTCCCGCCAAAAGAGTTTCAATCTTTGAGACTTAAAAACAAAACAAAACAAAACTCAGCTGTGTAACTTCTATTTAAATCACAGATTTCAAAAATCTGCCTAGAGGCTACAAACCATCACCATTTGAAAATTCGCATCACTAGTGGGTTGAATGGTGGTCCCCAATAAGGTGTCCACATCCTCATCCCCAGACCCTGTGAATGTGATCTTATGTGGAAAAATGGTCGTTGCAGACATAATTAACATAAGGATCTTGCAAAGAGGAGATCATCCTGGATGATTTAGGTGGCCCCGATTCCAGTAACAGGTATCCTTACAAGAGACACACACAAGGGAGGCACACAGAAGAGGAAAAGGCAGCATGACCACAGAGAGAGAGACTGGAGTGACTGGGGCCACAAGCCCAGGAAAGCCAGGCAGCCACCAGAACCTGGAAGAGTCAAGGAATGTATTCTCTCAGAACTACCATTGGGAGCATGGCTCTGCTGGATTTTGAACTTCTGGCCTCTAGAACTGTGACAGAATGCATTTCTCTTGTTCTCAGTCACCAGGTGTGTGGTAATCTGTGACAAGGGCCACAGGAAACTATGACAGCATCTGTAAGTCAGAAGACCCAATAGAAAAAAACAAATGTTATATAGCCAACAAGTTGTACATACTTGTTAATAAGTATATACATAAATTAAGACACCATAGATGGCAAAATGGTAAAAATGAACATCCAGCACGGTAGCAGTCAGTCTTCCTTTCACATAACAGGATATCCTTCACTCCTCCCTGGAAACCAAGAGGAGGGGTTTAATGCCATGTTCCAGGAGAACGTGAAGGTGTAATTTTAATGACGCTCGTAATCGGTCCAGGGGCATATGTCTATGTAAGAACCAAGACATATTAAGAACCAAGACATATTCAGCATTTTGCCGTTTGACGGTATCAGCAATTCTGTTTTTCCTGAAACATGTTGAGAACATGTTTAATTGGGGCATTTGAGAAATTAAAAGAGGACAAACAGCACTGATGATGTGAATGTCACTTTCATTGCTTACATCCAGAGGTGAGCAAAGCACAGCCTGTGCTGCCCCCCACACACACACTTGGACTACTTTTTTTCTCTCTCTCTTTTTCTTTTTTAGTATTTAAAGTACTGCATTTAGTCATCAGATTAAAATTTGTATGTTTCACTCACTCTAAGACTTCAGCAGTTTACAGATAGATTGTTTTTGGATGATAATTGTCATTTGATCTGAAGAAGGCTCACATTTAAGATGATCACATTTCCTACTTCTATTTTTCACATCCAAATGACACCACAGACAGTGAAGGATGCTTTAAATCGTAATATCGGTGATATGTGTTTCTCTTGAGCACCAGTTGCCAGAAGTAGCAATGCTCATGGAAAAACTAATTATGTTTTATGAATAACTTGTTAATATTTTGTTTTCTTAGAATATTGATTGAATGACAGATGGAAAGGGGATTTGTTGTACATTTAGTTTTCTATCATAAAGTCATTTCAGCCAATTTGCTGTAAACATTGGTGTGTTAAAAACTCACGAGTAGTTGCTTACAGGATCATCCCGTGGAAATTAGTAAACTTTTTTAAAAGATCTTTTTTTTTTTAATTGCACAAATGTGGTGAGAATCCAGCTCTTGCAGCTTGGAAGAAGGGTCTTTTCCCATCTTCAAGATACTGTCTCTTGTTTAGCTAGAGTTCTTAAATTCATGAAAACCAGAGAAACTAACTTAATAAAAAAAGGTTCTCCTCAAAGAAAATGAGCCCCTGGCCGGGGGTTTTCTTCTCTGTCGCTGGTATCGATTGCACTCCGATCTGCAAAGTAAATGTCAGACTAGGAAGTTGAAACTCTTTCAGATCTTGTCCCTCTCTTATTTTTTATATTACTAATTGAATTTTTTCTTTCATTTTTAAATTCCCTTGAACAGAGGAATAAAATTGGTGAGTGGTGAATGGTTCAGCAAACCCCAAACTTCCTTAGCAGATTTAGGAAATGAATTTTTGTCTCCTAGGTTTGACACCCACATATTTTTCTAGCTGTAATTGGGTCCCTATGCAGTTAACTATCTAAACTGTGGCTCTTTTGGACACTTTCCAAGATCCACCACAGCCCAACTGGAGTATGTCAGTTAAATGGAATCTTTCTCTGTTTAACGCGCTTCTCCGAACTCAAATTGGGCTCCAGGGTGTGCTAAATCAGGACCCTGGAGCTGAGCTGTTACTGATTTGTGCCGTAACTGAGCATCCATGTGCACCACAGAATCCTCTATTTCCGAACCTTCATGCTTCCTGGAGGAGGCAGCAGAGGATGGGTAGTGGGACTCATTCTTTTCATCCTCCTCTTAGCAGGAGCAAAATTTGTGAATACAAGGAAGAGAAAGCTGAGGTGGAATGCTCTCCAGTTTTACACCCGCAAGGAATCCATAACCCCTTAACAAAATGCCATCAATAGATCTGCTCTATCTTCCATGCACACCCTTTAGTCTTTCCATCTGGCCATTCTTTCCCTCCTTTCCATCCTGGTCTCCCTTGGAGATTGTTTTCAGATGGATTATATTCATATAAAAATAGATGTGTGTTGGGGGGGTGGAGGATGGGAATCTTGGTTTGGGGCTCTGCACAACTTGGGTTTGACCTGTCCCCAGGCACCCTCTGCGCAGACATACACACACACACACACACAATCTGTACAGCTATACACTGCCCACCCCTTTCATTACTCACACTTCAACTCTTGTCCAATTTCACTGGATCTGAGTAAAACAGATGGTTCACCTTCATGGAACCTTAAATGTAGCATGTGGACAAGCTAAAGGATTCTGCATAGCTTTGGCTCCTTGAAAATGGACTCTATTTAAATAAACTAAAAGAAAACAGGGATGATCATCAGTGCAGTTCTCATCAGCCAAGCTATTAATGCGTACCCCACGTTGAGCTCCGGACCTTTGGTCTTGAGCTTGAGTACAGCCCTGCCAGCAGTGTAGCTTTGAGGCCCTTCATTCTAGAGGCTGCTGTACACATGGAATTTAGAGGTGGTCCATTGTGAGCCACAGAAGCTCCTCCGTGCTCACCCACTTTTAGAAACACAGTTAACTCCAAGGCAAATTACGAAAAGACATTTCAGTTGCAACTAGAGAGGTGATTAACAGTTAACCTCAGTACTCAGAACCCTAGAAGATCTGGTATTGCTACACAAATAACAATTCTGGGCACCATCTTGTCGATGGGAAGCACAGTAAACATAATGAGGGGCTGGTAAACCATCACAGAGATCAAGAGAAGGGCCAGACTCTGGTGATTTTTGAGGGCCTGAGACAAAAAGGAAATGACGATACAAGAAAATAAAACAGCCAAAAGCCAGATGTTTCCCGAGCTTTTAACCATACAAATGAATTCTTTGAGAGGTGGTATAAACCTAGCTTTTGTGCAGAGTCACATGTGGTATATAGCACAGTGAGATTATCAAATGTTTATCTCCAAAGCCATCTCTGGGCTTTAGGAACACACTCAAACAGCCTCAAGGTCCCCCTCTGAATAGCCCTGAAAGTTGACAGGAGGCTCTCAGAGGGGGGTTGAGCCTGCAGAGGAAGGTAAACTGGCTCCAAAGGAAATGTCCCCTAAGAGGTATACCAGGGAAAATGAGCTAAATAAATTCTCATCTTCAAGGTACTCCTCCCAGGTGGGCACACCATGATGTGAGAAGTCCGAGAGGTTTCCAAAGTTCAAAATGAGGCATTGGCAGTTTTGTGATCATTACGGTTGCAAACATGCTCATTCAAACCAGATTGAGGTAATGGTAGTGGTGAGTACTTATTGGTGATGGGGCTGGAACTGAAATAGGTTATGAGGAGAGCCACATGTTTCTGAAGCCAAACAGTGGGCACCATGAGATTGTGTATTTTCAGCAGAATCATCCCTCATCTGGATGCTGATGTGTTCAAAGGCATATTTGGGGTTTTTTCCCATGTGGATATGCACCTATGAGCATTTCTGACATAGGAGTTAAGGCACTGGCTTCCCGTAGGTACATTTCCAGCATCCGGAGCCCAGTAAGACTCATTTTGTGTTTTTTGTTCAAAAGACCAGGCTATGAATCCTTCCTTGATAACTGATTAATTCTGAAAATGCCTGTGACTCAGATCTGTGCTTGGACTATTTGTTATTTGAAAATTTCAAAAGTATTTACTCTGCAGTTAAGCAGTGGTACCAAGGGGAAATACTCTGGGATCATTCAAATGACCACTCCACTGAGCTTTCCACCCCACATTTTTTGGCATTTCCTGCATTAGCTGAGCTCTCTTCCCTTAGTTCCAGCTGCGTAGATAAGAAACATGTTGAAAATTTCTCAAAACACAGCCACAGAGAATTTGTTCTATTAGATAGTTGTGAAATTTAAATTAAATATGTGGAAAATAATTTAACTTATCTTTTCCTTCCAGAAAACCTATATAACCTATAAATTACTGTTCACACCATAGAGAAGAATTTTTCTAATATCTCAAATATTCAGATTTTCATGCTTTTAGAACTTAACTAACCACATTGTCTGCCCTGCCCCCATATGAAAAATGCTTCTCTCCATGAAGGCAATTGAAAGAGACACTGGTATAATTGATATGTCAACTTAAGTGGTCCAGCTAATATTTCCACAGCACTTGAATATAAAATGTAATGGAGATCTTTAAAAGGCTCATCACAGTTATAATTTTGAATTCCTATAAAATTTATAATCTTTGTCCATACCCAATTCCTATCTTGGGAAACCTTATAATAGACATATTATGCATATATATATTGTTACTGACTCAGAAAAGGAAGTGCTTCTAACTAGAACCATATCCTGGGAGTAATAGTATTAAATGTTCATCTCTTTCCAGACAGTGTTCTTGTTTGTGCTCTTTTTTGTTTTGTATAGGCTGTTTCTTTTCATAAACTCCTAAACCCAGAATTCTATGTTACACACAATTGCCTAAACCTAGATATTATGTATTATAGAATAATTTAAATGTGAAACAGTATATCATGTTAAAGTTCATTATGATTAATACTGTATTCTATTAACCCTGTCTTGATCTGAACAAGAAAACACAACTGATGCTTGCCTGAAAGAAAACAAATATTGATTCAAATTTATTGTCCTACAAGCTTGGTCTTATGAGGGAAATCTACTTGTGCACCTGAACACTTTGACCCATGAGCATTATTTAAACATGAAAACAAATCAGAAAATGCCAGTACCTAATGTACCTTTTTATTTCTCTGAAATCAGACTGCCCAAAGGATCATTGCAAGTCCCTGGCTGAACTATAAATCCCCAAATCAAACAAAATGATAGCCCTCACAGAATTTCCAGGTCTACATAACCCCCTCCCCATATTTATTTATGAGTCTATTACTTTTTGTTTGGAAAATTTCCTTGACACCTCATGGTGTGTGTATTAGATTCTATTCCCTCTAGTGAGAGGCAAAGTCTAACTAGAACACATGCCTGGGAGCTTTAGAGAATATGATATTCACTCAGTAAGAGAAACGCCTCCCATCAAGCAGCCTTCTTGGAAAAATCCTTTATGAAGACAGTTTTTCACTGCTGACATGTCAGCGTCTGTTCTCAAGTACTCCTGCTGATTTTCATAAAAGATACTTTAGTAGGGAGCGAGGTCTGAAACCAACAGTGCACTTGCTTTTGGTGGTCACTAACAAAAGAATTGCTTTAGCAGCATCTAAATTATATGTGTCATCGCCATCATACTCTGCGCTGGTCTGAACAAACCTACAGTTATATGTTGAAGAGCTACGTTTCGTTGTAATATAAATATTTATAAATAATTTATAAATAATTCATTAATAATATTCGGAGGGACCAAAAAAAACGTCACATATGTGGAAAAGCTATCTATGGAGGAATTGATTTACTCAGGAATACTCAGAACTGAACCTTAACAAAATTAACCACCAGGTACCTTTACACTTCTTGCAAAGTTGCATCTTGGTTTAAAAGTCAGTGAGACTATTTCTCAAGAAATGACTCACTGTTCCCTGTTCCAGGGCCCTCATTTTACTGTTTACTACAGCTTCAAAATGTTTTCCAGGAGAATCAGTTCAAGATAATTTGAAAAACAGATGCAAATCAGCATTTCACTAAGGGAATGGACCCCTCTTTTGAATATATCAAGGATCATATCAATTTATAGCAAACCATTATGATTTTAATCAAATTATGAATATTTCACTTTATGCAGTAAATGCTCTAGAATAAGGGGATAAAGTTCTCCTTTGTGGTTAATTTGCACGTAAACAAAAGGATGAACTGACCTCCATTTGACATTCCAAGTGCCAATGCAAACTCAGCTCATTCCTTATAAATCACTATGACAGATTATTTGCTTTCCTTTTTTTCCCCCTTGGCCTAAATTTTGCCTCTTAGCTGCATCAATATTATGTTTCCCTAATCAAGTCCTGGTTATGTGTCAGTTTTCAAAATCATGCATTGATGATCTGAGGAGCTGATTGAAATATATGCTGGATTGTTTGAAGAAAAAGAATACAGTATAAATGAAAATGCTCTGGAGTGATTTTCTATTAAATTTATTTCACCAACATGGGTATTAATCCCTAAGAAGTTGAGCTAAAAGATTAAACTGAAATTACTAGACCTTAATTAGAATGTGAGCAGCTTTTATATTCTCTGCCTGGATGTCTCATGAGCATACTGATATCTTGTTAATACTGACCCTTCCTACATTGAAATAGTGATGTACAAGAGGTAATTGGGTTTGAGGAAGCATTTAGCAACTCTCATGAAGTCTTCGATTACTTGCCCTGAGATATGGAGGCATCATTTTTTAAAAAATTTCTTTGCATTGTATTCGACAGATAGTTGCCGCAATCATGGCCATTACTGGCATCGTCATGATGGCATACGCAGATAATTTCCACACGGATTCAATCATAGGAGTGGCATTTGCAGTGGGCTCAGCCTCTACATCAGCATTATATAAGGTATGTTGTGCCTTTTTTAGTGTAGTCAACTGTTATTCGTAGTTTAGACTTAAGTAATAAAGGAAGGTAGGACAAAGAAAGTCTTGGCTAGAGAGAAAAAAAAAAAAGATGGTTCAAGTAGGAACAAGTACCATTCACTGAATACTTGCTACATGCTGGGCACTTGCCGGAAATTTTCACCTGTGTTAACTCAACTTTATGAGACACAGGCACTTATCTCCATTTTCCAGATGAAGAAACAGATTTAAAAGATTAAGTAACTTACCCAAGGGCATACTGCCAGGAAGTGATAAAAAGATTTCAGTTCCAACTGGCCACCTCCAAAGCCCATGCTCCATGCCTCTTCCCCTCTGTGAACATCAACCAGTTGCAGCAGGGGCTGAGACCCCTCCTGTCTTTAAGTTCTTTAATGACCTACAGTCATTATTTTAACTCCAATGAGGTGTTAAAAATAACAAACAAGCTGTCACTCACCAGCTGACTGCTGTGTCTTAACCTGAGCCCCAGGAACTCCTGTTATTAGTGAAATGCAGGGCCTCCTTCCCTCTCTGATGGATACTCTGGGGTTGCACTATGTACTTAACACTCTTTCTCCTCTGGAGCGCCTGTCATCAGTGGAAAATCCATTCAGTCATTGCCCCTGACTTCAGAAGCGAGGACTGAGAGAGCAGATCTAAAAGGTTATCCCCAAAGCTCCACTTCTCAGAGCTAGCTTTCAGTATATAGCTAAGGCCCTGTTCCACTTTCACCTCTCTTGGTGTTTCAATGAGAAAATTCTCTGTGAAAAGCAGAAAGCGCCCTTTGCTTCCCTCCTGGATGCCTGTTCTGATTATTCACCAACATTGTGGCTCCGAGGACACCAAGTCTATTTCCATATTGCCATTTCTTGGCCCACTGAATCTGTGACAAGTTTTCACTCAATTGCCATTAGTGTCTAACTGGCCCCCAGCTGAGACTCACTGAGGTGTCTGATGTGACCAAAGAACAGCACATGGTCAAGTTCTCTTGATTAAGTCTCTCAAGAGAAAAAATAATAAGGTCTGTCAAAATTAAAAGCAATACCTGGTTGCTATGTGACAGGGATGGCTATCTTATAGAGAGAATTCTCCTGACCATGATACAGATGGATTCATTCTGGGAGCAGTAATATTTACAGACATGCATAAAATCAAATGTACACTGTCAGAAAGATCTGCTCCATTCTACATTGTTTGAGGATTAATATGGGAAACAGAAGGGTTATGAAGCCAAGAAGTAGGGAGTAGAGACCTGGCTCCTCCTCAGCCCAATGTGTCTTTATGTTGGCCATTCACATCTCCTGGCTGTCTTCCTCTGTACACAGATTTATATCCAGAAAGAAAAATTTGTTTTAATCTGGTGAATAAACACAGTAATTGTGAAAATATTTTAAGCTCAGAGAGAAAAGTGCTTATAAATCCCAGGCATCATTATTACTTCTCTCAACAGCATAATGACAGTCTCTGTCTAAGTTTTTGGTATCTGTCAGAATACGGGTAAAATGAATTCCATGCTTGAGGAGAAGAATTGATGGCATCTCAATCCTAGATTGTCCTGGGTTTGTCTGCACTCTTATTTATCATTAACCTTAGACTCATTCCCGATAGTGGTGTTTAACACAGTGCAAAGTGCCTGTAGCAGTTTCCAATGTCATAAGGAACTCTTTGTAGGGCATTTGCTTTTTCATCTGAAGACTACAGAGCATTTTAATTCCTTATCTCAATGGCCCACTTGGTGCCATGGAGATGGTGGGGTAAAAAGAAATAGAGGATAAACTCTGGCATGGTCAGTTCACTGTATGACTATGTAGAACTTGCCTTTCCACTCTAGCAAAGTCTCAAACTGTGTGGCTAAGGAGTTTCTTTCCCAATCTAGGTTTTGTTTAAGATGTTTCTTGGAAGTGCCAACTTCGGTGAAGCAGCACATTTTGTCTCCACGTTGGGTTTCTTCAATTTGATCTTCATCTCTTTCACCCCAGTCATCCTGTATTTCACCAAGGTGGAGCACTGGTCCTCATTTGCGGCTCTGCCGTGGGGCTATCTCTGTGGGATGGCCGGGCTGTGGCTGGGTAAGTGGCTCTGGGTTTTGCCTTCCATTCCCTATGTCATTCTACCTTTTCTTGGATAAATGATCATAGTGGGATTATTCCCTTGGGAACCTTTGTCCTCCATTTCCCAAAGTTACCTAAGGTTGATTAATGGTTAGAAGGTTCTTTGCAGGCTATTTCTTGATTAGATCAGAGCTGTTCAATTGGTATATCTCCGAGGGGTTAGGGTGTGAGGTGGAGGCCCAAGCCATTCTGATCACCACTTGTCAAGCAGCCTGTCCATTCTTCATGATGTACTGTAATGATATCACTGTGTTCCAGGCATAGCACAGTGCATCAGGCAGAGGGAGAGGGGATATGGTGCATTTAAGTAACTCAAAGTGGATCAAAATGGCTGGAGTACCACGTGTAGGAGGAGTAAGGAGGAAGGGGGGAGAGGACATTCTGGAAAGAAACAGGTCATGAAGGGCCTGGAAACCTGTTAAGGGGATTGAATTTAAAATTCACTTAAAAATCTTTCAGCAGAGGTGACAGGCTCAAGTCTTCATTTTTGTCAGCCCACTCTGACTGTGTATGGAGAATAAATTTGAGACAGGAAGCCTTCAGAAAACAAGAGAAGTCAGACCCAGATTTGGTTGCCCTGCTAAGTAGGCTATGCCTAGTCAAAGACCAGGAAAAAAATCACCTGGAGTCTTTGTAATGTTCTCTCTTCAAACTCCCCAAACTCAGGGCGGTCTGCTTCATCTGCTTCACCTGAACAACAGGTTTTGCTACACTCAATGTAAAAGGAACCCGAAAAATAACAAGCCTGCTCTTACCTCCCCAAGCGGGTGAACAACAGCAACAACTAATGACTCCGTGTCCCTTTACTCAGAGCAAATGCACTTTTCATTCTGCTCCTCTGTCCTGGTCTCCATTCACCCACCACACTTGACCTGCAGGACATCTACCGACCCTCAGCTGACCTTCTTTATCAAAGTGACATAATCTGAAGCAGCATTGCAGTTCCAGTTCCTGGAAGAAAAACATGGCCTGGTTTTTATTCCCACATAGGCACTGAGTCATCTTCTTTCTACTTTGGCCCAGGCCCCTGAGCGGAGGTCTTAGACAAGAGAAGGATCAAACGTTAATCGTTGGCCCTTTGATCTCTACTGTTGAAGTCCAAAAATATGTAGTTATGACCTTTCATAACCTTTGCTAAATTGAGTGGAAATTAATAGTAATGTTTCCATAAGATCCAAACATCCTAATTAAAAGTGCCTAGATAATTTCCTGGCCAAAAACAATCTAGCTGGAAGCAGTCATAACCTAAATTTCACTGACTCTTGGCACCAGCTGTGTACACATGATCTCCAGCTTGCTACAAAGTAGCCCTTCACCAACATATATCCCTTGGCATGTCTTAACACATGGTCCTACACAAGTCCCAATCTGGCTGAGTGTCACCCAGGCTAGTGGGATGCTAGTTCTCCACCGAGCAGTAGGCTCTCCATCCTCCACTGGGTTTAGTGCCTCCTGGTTCTAGAGCTGCTCTGCCCCACCCATACCCAAGTGCACAGCAGTCCTCAAGGTGCCAAAGCTTCTCTGTGAAAAAATGACAAGACAGCCTCTCTCCTGACTACGTTACACATCCCAGGGTGTTACAATCTTCACTGCTTCTGTTCTTAAGTTTTTACTTCCATCCCTCTCTTCTCTGTAGTAACCAGATATGATCAGGCTAGAGCTGGGCTGGAAAAACAGCAGGTGGTCTTCTGGCCCACCCACATTGTCTGTAACTCCAGCCTTTATTTGCTCAGGCTCACCTGGCTTCATTTCTTCTTGCAGGTTGGCCTGGACTGTTCACCTAACATGCCTGAGTCCCACTTGAGCTTAGGCTGAGCCCCCTGCCACAGATAACATGTTGAATTATATATTCTTGCCCTTAGGTTGTCAGAAAAGTGAGTAAGTGCTCTACCGAAAGAGCTAATTAAAAACAGACAACATATTTTGGTGAAGCCACCTGTTTCTTGCTGAGTGAGAAGGGCTCACTTCTCACCCAAATACCAACACTTTCAATCTGCTGAAAAATCCAGTTCAGCCAATAAAATAGCAGGAGTTCAGTAGAGCCTGTGTAGAATTTCAGGAGTTCAGCAGAGCCTGTGTAGAATTTCATAAATTCCTGACTTGCTACAGTTGGCCATATTTGACTCCCTAGGTCTGAGGAGAGAGTTGAGATACTGGAATAGTTAGTCCCATTGGGGCCCTGCCACGAAGGAGGAGTAGTTATTAATTTAAGAAGGTCCTTTGCCTTGATTGCCACTACTATTGTATAATAATTATGCAGGAGCCCAAGTTTTATGAAAGTCAAACCCATTGTCTCTAACTACCAAGTACAAGTAACTTCAGATAACTAAGTTAATGGGCTTAATTAAAGCAAGAATTATAGATAGCAATGGAAGAATAAACACTGTCCTGAATGGAATGGCTCTAGAACCATCTTTGGCTCTATAGACTATAAGCAACGTGGTTGAGTCTTTAACATAAAGATTTCTTTGAATTGAGAACCATTCATAATTGTTGATATTCATCTCTCTCACCCCTTAAACAAATACTGGATTGAAATCCATTAAAATAATGCTATGTAGGGGTGACTGGGTGGCTCAGTGGGTTAAGCATCAGACTCTTGATCTCAACTCAGGTTTTGATCTCATAAGACCCAAACCCCTAATTAAAAGTGCCTAGATAATTTCCTGGCTGAAACCAATCTAGCTGGGAACAATCATAACCCAGATTCCCAGCGTGGAGCCTACTTTAAAAAAATTTTTTTTCAATTTTAAAAATAAAATAAAATAATGCTAGGTATTTTATAATTGCTTTTCTTTTGAAACATATATTTTTGATCATTTTTGTAGGGGGTAGATGATTATCTTATATTTTATTCAAAAGATCCAAAGATACTAATTTAAAGATATCTAGCTATACCTTCCTTTGGTTCTGTGGACCTGCCCTTGGGTAATCTGTGCACAAATCAGGATATGGAAAAGCTCTGTGGGGGTCAGTACATGACATTGAACACACTCTTGTTTGCCTGCATTGATGCTCATCACAAGAGAGAGGAAATAAAACAGCAGAGGCCATTCTCAGATAGATCTTCCTTTAGGCAGTGACACCAGAGCCTTTCAGTGACCCAGGAATGTGGCGTTATATAGCAAAGTAGCTAAGGCAGAAAGCCCAAACTTAAACCAGCCCTCTGCTCTCAAACTCTCTGGCTGGCCCCAACCTACCTTTATAGTGCTAATAAGCAGTGTAGTGAATTGATTGTTTCATTGCTTTACATTTGCTCTACAGACCCCTTTGCCAGCCAATTGGCAAGAGATCAAGCAGCCAAGGTGACAGAGGAGAAAAAAGAATAGACTACTTCCGTGGAGAAACTCCTGCATCCAGCTCCCAAATTAGAGAATTAATTGACCAAAGGTGCAGAGAGTATAGAAGGCACGTTTAGGAAAAACACTGGTTGTATTATGTTAAGAAGGAAGGAGCCCAGCATATCAATTCCCCTTCATCCTCTGTATCCTCCTTTATTTTACAGCCTTCAACATCCTGGTGAATGTCGGCGTGGTGCTGACATACCCAATCCTAATCTCCATCGGGACAGTGCTCAGCGTTCCTGGAAATGCAGGTACTGGCGTGATTTGACATGTGTGCCATCAGTGTCCTGCTTGTGTTCGTTTTACACTGTGAGTTGTGTCTTCGAACAATTGTGAATTATGTCCCTTGCCTGGGAAGATGTTTTTAAATATCATGAAGGTGGCAGACAACAGAATAGCTATGCAGCAGATTTAAAATTTGCAGCTATAAACACTGTTTTTACTCGGTCGTGCTTTTAGAATTAAATACCAAATGTATCATTTGGGTTTCATGTAATCTCCCTGACAACCTAATTTTGTGGTATTTTTAGAGGAAGTCCTACAGAAACAAAAGGCCTCCCAGCCTAGGACTTGCAAGTAAACGTCACTAATGAAAGTGTAGGAAATGTGCAGGGTGTTGGCTCCCATCAGACTATCCATGGGGAGCTGCAGAAGCTTCTCCTGGGGGCAGAGCAGATGGCCCTCTGGAATAGATACAGGAAAAAGCAATTTGACTCACTTCAGGGACAAGAAGAGAAGCTATTTTTCCAGGATAATCTTTGTAGTGAAACCTGTCAATAGAACAAGTAATGAAAGGGAGTGATTTAGCAGACTGGACAGTCCTTCTAACTGTAAAATTCCATTTTTCCAAGTTCCATCTTTTCTTGCCCCAGGACAATCAGCAAGTGTTCATTGAACACTTATTGTATGCAAAACTGTAAAATAAACAGGGAAAAAAGGATATTATGGTTCCCATAAGAAACTTTTCACTGAATTTGGAAAACAAGACCAACATATATGAGATAACTTATAACTCCACAGTATAATTTATTAGTAAATGACAAATTGTGTGAGACAGACTCCTAGGATCATAAGATATCCAGAGAAAAGATATATCCAAGGGGAATAGAGTTGTCAAAGAAGTTTGTTCATTCACCCAGGGATCCATTCATTCAACGCATCATTTCTGAGCACTTAGGATATGCCACAAACTGTGCTAATGCTGGTAATAGGTCCTGAAGAAGACACACAGTTTCTGCTCTCAGGATCGTGTAGTAGACAGAGGAAGACAGAAGGAATTGAGTAATTAAAATGTAGAGACAGAATTGTTTTGATAGAGGTATGTAATGAATGCTCTGAGAGCATCCAGGAAGGGCATCCAGGGTGGCTACCGGCAAGAAGCCAAAAGAGAGAACTAATGAAGGGATTAGCTGGGTGGTGTGGATATGAGATGGAATGGGCATTCCATGTAAAAAGAACAACATATGCATGACCAACAATTTCACTACTAGATACATATGCAAAAAATTTGAAAACAGGGACTTGAAAACATACTCGTGTGTGAATATTCACTGCAGCACTATTCACAATGGCCCAGAAGTGGAAACACCCAAATGTCCATCAACAGATGAATTGATAAACAATTGTGATACAATGAGCTATCATTCAGCCATAAAAAGTCAGGAAGTATGGATTCATGCTACCACACAGTTGAACCTCAAAAATGTCATGCTAAATGAAAGAAGCCACACCCAAAATGTCACATGTGGTATGATTCCATTTATAGGAAATCTCCAGAATAGGTTGATTCATGGAAACAAACAGCAGATTCCCAATCAGGAATTGGGAAGTCAGGGTAGGGAATGCTGGAGAGTAACCGCTTAAGGGGTAAGAGGTTTTTGTTTTGTTTTTTTTGTGTTTTTTTTTTTGTTTTTTTAAGATTTTATTTATTTATTTGTGAGAGACACAGAGAGAGGTCGAGACATAGGCAGAGAGAGAAACAGGCTCCATGCAGGGAGCCCTATGTGGGACTTAATCCTGGGACTCGGAGGATCACGCCCTGGGCCAAAGGCAGGTGCGCTCAATTGCTGAGCCACCCAGGTGTCCCAGGGGTAAGAGGTTTTTATTTTAAGTGATGGAGATGTTTTGGAACGAGATGGAAGTGGTGGTCATACAACATTGTGAATGTACAAAAAAATTAGTGAGTGCACTAAATTCACTTGAAACAAGTTCATTTTAATTTATAAGAATGTCACCTTGATTGAAAATGTTTAAAAAGAACAGCATGTGCAAAGACACAGGCATTAACAGGCCTGGCTCATTTGAAAATTCATCAGCAGCCCAGTGAAACTGGAGAAGTGTGAGGGGATGCAGAGGAAAAGTTTCAAGAAATAAAACTGCAGGGGGCACCTGGGTGGCTCAGTGGTTGCCTTTGGCTCAGGTTGTGATCTCAGGGTCCTGGGATCGAGTCCTGTATCTGAATCCCCGCAGGGAGTCTGCTTCTCCCTCTGCCTATGTCTCTTCCTCTCTATATGTCTCTCATGAATAAAGAAATAAAATCTTAAGAAAAAAGAAAAAGAAAGAAACTGCAGAGGTAATTAAATGAGATGACACGAGAGTTGAAGGATATAAAGGATACTTCTGATTTAGAGAGAAGGCGCAGAAAGCAGACAAAGGGAACGATATGATATGGAAAGAGGAAAGACAACCTTGACTTTAGAAATCTCTAGAGGTAGCACTGACTTTGGCCAGTGCTTTGGACTTAAATATATATAAACATATATAAGCTTATATAAGCTTCTCTTAGAAACAGTCATAGCCTGTGACAGACTTGATTTTTCTTCCCTAGCTGTGGATCTTCTGAAGCAGGAGGTGATATTCAATGTGGTCCGCCTGGCTGCTACCATCATCATCTGCATTGGGTTTCTGCTGATGCTATTGCCTGAAGAATGGGATGAAATTACCCTGAGATTCATCAATAGCCTAAAGGAAAAAAAGAGTGAGGAGCATGTGGAGGACATCACTGATTCCAGTGTACACCTACGGAGCAGAAGCAGGGCCAATGGGACCGTGTCCATACCACTGGCTTAACAAGGGACACATTTTGAATGCACGTGTATGTATATTCTGTGAATATAATAAAATTTTCTCACTACCTGTACGCTCAAATGACAGTATTAACTCTGAATTTGGATAAGTCATATGTGAAATAATGCCAATGATAAAAGTTTACATTTATATGCTTATCAAGGAACTGGTGTAAATAATCATAATAAATTTTTTTATTAAAACGTATTCATCTTTGTTCTATTTCTTATGTTTTAGAGGGAATTTTCTCTCTCTCTCTCTCTCTCTCTCTCTTTCTCTCTCACACACACACACAAATTTGCAAAATTTCCTGAAAACATGAGATTCTACTAATTATGGGTTTATCATGACCTGACCCTCACCGGGAGCTGAGATGTTTTCATTCAATTAGAGAAAGTTGTGGAAGAAAAAAATACATGAAAAGGATACACACTTTATATATATTTAAGTCCAAGAGCCTTGGACTTATATATACTTTAAGAGCCTTAAGTTTGGAGGCTGGAAAGTAATTAAACAGCTATCAAAAGAGCATCTTCTTTTTTTTAATTAATTTATTCATGAGAGACAACAGAGAGAGAGAGGGGCAGAGACACAGACAGAGGGAGAAGCAGGCTCCACGCAAGGAGCCCGATGTGGGACTCAAACCCAGGAATCTGGGATCATGCTCTGAGCCAAAGGCAGGCGCCCAACCACTAAGCCACTCAGGTGTCCCAAAAAGAGCATCTTCTATAGGCAAGACTTACACTAGGAAAAACAAAGGCATGAAGATACAGAAGACTCCATTTATGCTTCCAGTGTGCTTAGAGTAGTGCAGAGCATAATAGCATTTACAAATATCTCTAATATAAGGTAGACATTTAAAAATGGCACTGGAGGGCAGCCCGGGTGGCTCAGCGGTTTAGCGCCGCCTGCAGCCCAGGGTGTGATCCTGGAGACCTGGGATCGAGACCACATCAGGCTCGCTGCATGGAGCCTGCTTCTCCCTCTGCCTGTTGTCTCTGCCTCTCTCTCTCCCTCCCTCTCTCTCTCTCTCTATCTCTCTTTGTGTCTCTCATGAATAAATAAATAAAATCTTTAAAAAAAATAAATGGCACTGGAGTTACGGAGAAGACATCTCTACAGCATTTGACATGATGACCACTCCTCTTTCCCAAAATATCCTCTTTACCTGGCTCCCATACAATTTCCCGGTTCTCTTCCTGCCTCTCTGACCGCTTCTCTGCGCTCCTCTTCCACGGCTGGTCTCATTCCCATCAGCCTTCAGTCCTTGGCCTTCTTAGCATCTCATTCCACACTCTCTCCCTACGGGATTTCATCTACTCCCATTGCTTCAAATGTCATCCACGTGGTGATGGCTTAAAAATCTTTATCTCCAGGCAAGAGATCCCTCAAGCTTCAGATCTGACTATCCAAATGTCTTCTGCAAGCTTACTTGGATGCTTCACCGTTGACTTCAAATTCAAGAGCAAAATTGAATTTATCATTTATCATCTCCAGATCTATTCCTTCCTCTCCCTTGTTCCCTGTCTACCCTAATGGTGCCATCATTCACTGGCTGCCAAACAGGGATCAACTTTCACTCCACATCCAAACTGTAAATCTTGATTATCTCTCTTAATTCTGGAATCCATACACTTCTCTACTATGCTACCTTGTTCTAGGCCTTCATCATCTCTTTCTCTAATGAATGAAAGGCTCTCTGCACTGGCCTCTCTGACTCTTGGTCTTGCTTCTGATTCCTCTCATGCCCTAGAGAATCATCATTCTACTCTCCTCTATAAAAGACTTCAGTGGCATCTTATTGCCCTGAGAATAAGGTCCAAGTACCTTGGCATGTCATTCAAAGCTCACTGCTGGCTGGCCGTTGCCTGCCTCTAGAGAAGCACCATTGGATGGAACTTGTGTGATGAGGAAGATATTGTAGAGCTGCACTATGCAACACAATAGCCACAAGTGCCTACTGAGCTCTTTAAATAGGGCTAGTGAAATTGAGGGTCTGCATTTCTATTTTTATTTACTTCTAATTAACTTAAAATTAAATTTAAATAGCCACATGTGGCTATTGGCTACCATATTGGACAGCACAGCTCCAGAGCCTCATTCCACCATTCCACCCACTGTGGCCCCTAGAATCTGTGCTTTCATGACACTATAACTTCCTGTGGTTCTTCACTAGAGACATGCTCTCTTTCTTGCACTCCCTTGCCTCTCTCATCTCCAGACTAACCATTACCTAGGCTTCATGACATGATTTATTCCTACTTTTCTCAGAAAACCTTTTCTTATGCCCCAAGTTGAACAATATGGCTTCCTAAGAAGCCTCTGCTTACCCCCATTATAGCTCTGGTCACCATCTGTGGTAATTACCAATCTACTTGCCTGAGTTCCCAGGAGATCAGGAGCCCCTTGAGAACAGGAACTGTGTGCCATTCACCATTGTGTTCCTGGCACATATCTGGCACTTGCAGACATTCTATAAGTAAATAAATGGGTTGCTTTACCCTGGAGATAATGCGCCTCCCTCAAACTGTATTAGATCAATCTTAGTTAAGGACAGGCTTTTGTATAGATGAGATTGGTTAAAGAAAGGAACATACAAGGTTAAATGGGCCACAGCATTTGGTGTGTTTCCACAAAATACCAATTTGCTGAATTGCTAAAAGGCACTTCTCCTCTAAGAGGCTGCTTAAGGCATAGAACAATTTAAGATAAGCTGTACTTCCTGGGAAGTTTCGTGCAATAAACTAAGTCTTTCAGGCATCTGTTCTACTATTCTTTTTTTATTCAAGTGTCCCCAAAAATATGGGGGAAACAATCACAGGGCAAGAAAAGGGGACTCAAGATATCATGCCCACTGGGCATCATGGTAAATAAAAATCTTATTTCTTTTTTCATTTCTCTGTCATTTTTTGAAAAGGCAATGCCAGTCTTCTGGTGTAGATGGATGATATATTAACTAAAATAATAACCATGACTCACTTTAAACTTCGTGAAAAATGGTACAAAATAAATGAAATACATTATTAATAAATACGGATTAATTCATTATCTACCTAGGGTTGGTTTTGACTATTTAGATGCCATATTGATATAAACTTTGCTCTTGCCTTGTTTTTAAATTACTGTTAAATAGCAGTAATCACTGACTAGGCCACTCCAGCATCTTGCCATTACTTAGCATGACATTTAAAATTGCATTTTGACATCTTAAGAAATGAGTTGTTTTGCTCTTTCTGATGATTCATTTTGAAAAATGGAGTCAGCTATCCTGGAAAGCTCTAATTCAACCTATGACTGATCACTGTAATTAGCTTAGTCTATATTAGGAAAACAGTTCCATTATGGTGTTCATTCATTTACTCATTCAAAAATTATTAAGTTCTACCTCTGGCTCTGAAGTAGGGTATTATGTTAGGTCATCACCAACTAGCCTCTGCCTGCCTCTAGAGCAGCATCGTCCAACAGAACTTTCTATGACCATAGCAATGTACTCTGCACTATGGAGAAAGGGATACAAAATGTATAGGAGGTGGTCCCTGCTTCTGGGACCTTCAACCTCTCTAGATAGGCTGTCAGCGTGACAATTACAATGACTCAGAAATTTATTTGAATTGCTTTGGGAATACGAGATATTCCTTTAAACTCAGGTGAAGTAATCATAAATAAAGATAATACTACCTTCCCTTGCTATCTCTCATTGTGAAAATCAGATAGGAGGGGAGCCTGAGTGGCTCAGTTGAGTGTCTGCCTTAGGCCCGGGGCATGATCCTGGGGTCCTGGATGGAGTTCCACAGCAGGTTCCCAGCAGAGTCTGCTTCTCCCTCTGCCTATGTCTCTGCCTCTCTTTCTATGTATCTCTCATGAATAAATAAATAAAATCTTTCTAAAAAATCAGATAAAGTATTTGAATCACTGAATAAATATGAGTGTGCCTCCCGTGTGACAAGGATGAAGCAGGTTCACTTGGGCGTGGAGGATGCTAACAAGGTCCCTGCCCTCAGAAGTAGAAGTGCCCTGTTGAGGTTACTGTCATCTTGCCTCTTTACCCAAACATGGCTCCTCCCCAAAGTTCACAAGGCAATGGCTTCTGTGGATGGCTGCATCGGCAGCACAGTCCAGGGATTAAAAGCACCCATGTTGCAGCAGTGACTCTGCACTTCTTAGATGTGTGGCTCTGGTTAATTACCAACTTCCCTCTGCCCCTTGATTTCATCATGAATAAAATGAAGGTATCGATACCTGTCATTCGAGGTTATCGAGCACATGAAATAAAATCACATGCTGAAGAGCCTAACACACTGCCAGACAGCCCAGATGTAGTAACTCCTGTTAGGGTTTCCTCTGTTTACTTCCTTCTGGGTTCTTATCCAGAGCACTTATTCACAAGATGATGCCCAGCAAAGTCACATAGCCTGGTGCTCAACAGGGAATTTTACCTCAAATAAACCAGAGAGACAAAAGAAGCCTGGCATGAGGAACACACAGAGGAAGCAAAAAGAAAGGGTATACCGCTCCCACTTGCCCGATTCCCCTCAGCCCCTCGTATCACAGCATTCTTGCCCAGCTAGCGGAACTAATTGCCTGACAAAAAGACAGACTGGTGACTTGGGCTCTGAAATTAAAATCACTTCAACCACGTCCTGATCGCTTCACAAACAAATTATAGGCAAATCAATTTGGCTCATCCAGGTTTTGCACGCATGTTAGCTTTGTGCAGGCGCTTTGTCAAGATTCACCAGAGGACAAATAATTTGGAGAAGGACAATGCAAGTGGTGAAAGAGTGAAAGGTATAACTGGCTAAGCATTGGAATGATCTTGATATATAAGTACAAATCCTCTTTCTTACTTATCCATGAGCCCCTGTCACAAGTACAAAGAATACCTACTACAGGTGATGCTGGTTTATCTGGTAGGCTAGAACAAGAAGTCTCTATTAATTTTAATTTTTTTATTTCTTTGTCTCTTCCTCTCCACCCCACCCCCCAACACCTGTAGCAATGGAAAGTGAAGTAAGAACAGAAGAGTACAGGATGTGATGGAGTTGGAATGCTAGTGCCAGA